CCTACCAAAACCCAACATCACCTGGACCATGTAAGAGGAAATGGGGACACAAAAGCAGTGCAATTTCACTTAAACATCAAGCGTACACTAGACTAGTGCTGTATGAACACATTGGAGGCTCTGCTACCTGCTTGGTACCATGAAGGTGTTACTGCTTTGCCAGGAATGTTCCTCTGGAACATTAGACTGCTGGTAAACCAATAGCATTTCAATGGACACAAGCACTTTTCATTGCAACATTGGTCATAAAAATTACTAGAAGATGGGATTCATGTTATCTACTTACCTTTAACCTGTTCGGTCCAGGCCAGTTTCTCTTGACACATTCCGGCATCAGCTCAACTCAGACGGTAGCCAGCTCAACATCCTGTCTGTGACGAGAGAGGACTTTGGAGAATATGTCTGCACTGGCAAGAATAAAATCGGGGAGAGCACTGCCACTATTACTCTTCATGTTTTTGGTGAGTAATTCACTCATGATAAAAAGAAAAGAGTTGAATACAGTCTGTGAGTTGACTGAAGTGTTATTTCAGAGGCCCCAGAGGTGTTTGTTTCAGTCGAGCAGCAAAGGGCATCAGTGGGTGACCGAGTGTCCATCTCCTGTAATGTCTCTGGGCATCCCCAGCCAGAGCTCCACTGGCTCAACAAACTTAATGGACAGGCTATAGTATGATTTAATGTACTTATTGGTTAACCCTGCATTTCCCCACTTGTCTACTTATTAAGTCTGATGATGTTTGGTGCCAGGTTCAAGACTCAGGGCGTGTTCACGTGGTGGAAGGTGTGTTGGTAATTGATGACATCGTGCCCTCTGATGGTGGCTTGTATTCTTGTATGGCAGTGAGCATTTCAGGGAATGCATCCAGGGATGTTGCAATCCTCAGTAGGTCTTTCTCAGAATAAATGTTATTATCAATCAGTATCCTAATACCAGACTACATCAACTGGTGTAATAATTGAACCTGGCTTACAGCACAGCCTGGCCCTCCACTGTACATGTCTGTCTCACCTGGACCCACATCAGTTCGCTTCAACCTCAAAACCCTACCTTTTAGTGGAGGAACACCAATCACAGGTTTTGTCCTGCAGTGGAGACAAAGTCCAAATGAACAATGGAAAGAGACCACTGTTCCAGTTTCAGGTAGGATCATCTAACTTGATTTTGTGATGAAATTTAGGTAGAATAACCTTCTGCCAACTTTAGGCTACCTATTCTCATGACTATGCTTATTACTTTGATTTTTACTTATCATTTTCCTAGATGCCCTGGCCATCACATCCTTAAAACCGTACACAAAGTACATAGTGCGTCTGGCAGCCCTGAATGCTGTGGGTGTGGGAGAGTTCTCAGACAACAACAACGTTCGCACTCAGGGAATACGTAAGTGAATTACTATCCATTGCTTAGATGTAAGTCTTTTGTTGTGTTCTTAGGCAAGACACTTCACCCACCTTACCTATTATAAAAGTGCAGTTCTGGACTGAAGAAGCAGCTTGGATGAGCTGCAAAACATATTTGACCAAAATAAACGTTTGTCCAGTTGACAAATTGAATTTCTTCTTTTGCCATAGAGTTGGGAGATATGCAAAAAATTTTAATGTGTCCTATATAAAAAGCATATAGAGAAAGAGAACTTATGACAATACTTCAACATTGCACTAATATGAAATTAATAATTAGATATACATTTTTGTCAGTATTGCTCACCCCTACTACTTCACACTGGCCAGTAGGTTTTTAACAGTCTAACTGTTGTCATCAGCTTTATCTGACTGAATATACTCACAGCTATTTTTCTCCATCTTTGCATCATATGCTGCTGCCTTCATTCATCTTGCTGATGCCAACTTACAGATGGTAAAACATTACTAAAGCACTAACTTGTAATTTTGTGTGTCAAGTATCAGATTTTAATAGTTGATGTACATTTATTTTTAGGAGAGCCAGACAGCCCCATCCTGTTGACCGATCAAGTAAAAATCGAAGGCAATTCTTTCTATATTCCTCTCAGACAAAGTGAGGATGGTGGATCTCCTTTGTTAAACTTCAGTGTACGCTACAAACAGGTAAAGCCAGTCTGCTAAAGTTATACTATGCATTACATTTATTTTAAGACCAAGTTAATTAAATAATGCAAAAAATGATATGATTTTGAAATATTTTGAATATCCATGGAAGGTTTGGGCATTATAAGCTGTAACCAAAGCTGTATGAAAGACTATGAGTTTTCACCCCTCCCAGGTTATTGAGGCTGCTGAGTGGAAAGAACTACAGCTGTCTAAAAATGCAGAGTCAGTCCTCCTCCAGAATCTGTCCTTTGGCTCTGACTATGATCTGGAGGTGATGGCCATCAATGCTAATGGTTCCTCTATTCCTGCTTGCTTCAATTTCACCATTGCAGAGCCACCTTGTAAGTTATAACTGCTGCTTAGAAAGACCATTGCCAACGGACTCAAACAAACTACATCTGTGTTATTCATTTCTTCTTCATTCTTAATGCAGATAAAGTCAGCAGCATAACCAAAGGCGGCATAGTTGGTATTGTGTTGCTGATCTTCTTGGTAGTTTTCTTAGCAGTTGATGCTACTTGTTGCTATAGGAACCATTGTGGGCTCCTCATGACTATTGCAGTAAAGATCTTTGGTCAGAAAGTACCAGGGATGAAAATGCTTGAAGAGGGGGATGCTACTGGGAATGGGTATGGCATGCTTTTGTAAAGTAATACTAAGCTCTCTCTGGTACTTTTCTAAATATGTCTGGTCTTGTTGCAGAGTGAAGCTGAAGGGAATTACCTCTAGGGGAAGCTCACACCAGCTTGCTCAGCTCGCTCTTCAGGCCTCAAAGGACCTGGGACAGCGCAAAGATGGCAGCTGTGACAAGGCACCACTCACCAAAAATGAGTATGCACACATTCATAAATAGACCTTCAAGAGTTTAGTCAGATGGTAAATATGTTATTTTAAATGCCCCAGTGACATTGAAGGATTGTATTGTACAAATTGTACCTTACCTTACTTTACTTGCTTCATGTGCTTTTGCATTGAGCGTTTATTTGGCTTGTATGTGTATTTTAAACATAGTTTAATTATATAGTATATAATAATATTATAACCTAACCTAAATGATTTTCTTTTCATATATTTTTTTCTTAAGGAAAAAACCAGCTGGTCGTGAGCTGTCCAATGCAGATGCATAAGATCTGAAACAGAGGAGAGATCACCATCCTCCAGTCTGAACTGCTGCTACTTGATCAAACTGCTCCTGTACCAGTCCTTAACAGACAGCAGTGCCTCCGGGTGTTGTAATGATTAACTTGATGAAAATGGACATTTACTTTAATGCATGTGTTATGGGTAAATTTCACTCTTACACAGCACAATGTTGTGTAGGCTAAGGCTGATAACAGTATTCACTGTACACACCTTTTTGCCCAAAAATGCTTGGCTTTATATTCAGTGTTTATCTTTAATATTTGTAACAACAATTGTGTACAACTTCTAAGTTAAGGATTATTCGTGAATTATTACTGTTTAATTTTGAAGTTTGTATTTTGACAACACCTGCAAAGCAGTTTACATAGCAATAACTACAGTGGACATTTAATTGATTCATGTCCATTTCAAATATTATTTAGATTTTGGCTTTTAACTTTGTAGATTGCCTTTCATTGTATATTGCGGAATCCTGTAAGTCACTGTAAGTAATTGTACATACTGTACATACACTGATTTTCTAAGAAAATGTGCAGATTATAATTACAGAATAAATGCAGCATGCTTTTTAATATGGTTGTTTCACAGTTGTTGTTTTTTGTTTGTTTGTTTGTTTGTTTGTTTGTTTGTTTGTTTTGCAAATTAGGCATATTCAGTTTGTATAGCCTGTGCAAATAGTGTCAAATAATAAGTTAATGTGCATGTGTTACTGAGTATTAAAACAATAACACCTCTTTGAAATTCCACTCTAGTCACTATATAGTCCAGCAGTCTGATCATAATCAGATTTTTGGAGTAAACTGGAAATGTCTTGTAAACAACTGAAAAAAAAAACAGAACAAAACAAAAATGGTTTGTTTTTGGCTGTGGACATGTGTAGGTTTTGACAAGGAAAATTATGCAATTTATCATTAGGCCAAAACAGAATTGAAACAGATTATGTTTAACATTTAGGGTTATTTTAAAAATTCAAACACTATAATAGTGTCCAAGGGTGGCAGGATGCTGAACTACAGAGAGAACATTGCCAGATGGGGCCACGAAGTGTTCCTCAATCATTCAGAACTTCCTCCTCTTGGGACTAGCCTTCTGTTTTGATGTGGAATAGTCTCTCCTCTTCCTCACTCAGAAGATGACGAGAACAAAAACGACCAGAGAAGCATCCAACAGGGAAAGATTATGGTAGTTAAAATAAAATATATAAAAAGACTCAAGTAAGATTTGTCTATGTTTAATGTTATATATGTTATTTTGGCAGTATTTTATTTATATTTGACCTCTGACCAATGACAATGACAACTGAAATATCTGTGGCTTAATTACTGGACCCAAAAATGCATTCTCTTGTCTTAATTTTTACTTTTTGATCATGAGAGAGTGCAGTTCAGCTGGTGGCTAATCATTTGTGTAAAATGGGAGAGTTTATGCACAATTTTTAGAGCTGTGTGGGGTGGCCCCATCAGTCCCATGACTGAAACCATTAATGTGCCATTAAGAAGATAGAATATAATGTATGACATGTGACCACACAGTGCCCTCTGGTGGCCACATGGATAGAATCTCTCAATCATACGCACATAATTAGTTCATTGAATGATTAGTGTGATGATGATGATGATGATGATGATTATTATTATTATTGTTGTTGTTGTTGTTATTGTTATTATTGTTATTGTTATTATTATATAACCATATGACTATATAAATAAAATAAATAAATCAAATCAGGGTGCTCTAAACAGCGCGGCGGCATCACGGTGCGTCACAACCAGCCTGTCCGGGGTTCGACTCCCGGGTCAGGTGAGACCAGACAGACTATGGGTGAGACGTGTCCAAGAACGTCTGGCAGGGACACATTATTATGCACATACACAGTGTATGGGCACATGTCACCTCTACGTCACTTTACAGCGTGATTGCTGGAGGCACATGACCGGGCTGTTTACACCTCCACATTGTTCAGCGGTATGACAGCGAACATAGCTGCTTGCACACTTACTACAGCAGTGATAAAGCGAAGGTAATTGTGTGAAGTGGGCAGTCACAGAGGGTCGGTAAGTGAGGGCTTTAAGATATTTGTTTTGTAGTACATGACGCGAGGACTCCCCTCTTCCGTAGCAACAACAGCTAATTTAGCATTAGCCTAGCTCCATCAGAAGCATCAGTATACTGCACAATAACAATCATAGACTACTGGAGATATGGAAGACATCATGTGGATACGGTACAGTATTCAGTTTTATAGAGATTTAGAATTAGATCCATTATTAGAGTTATCACTGACAAGAGTTATGTCATTTCAGGAAACATCAGCATTAGTAGATTGATTGTGGATGTATTGCAGGATTTGAATGGCACAAAAGTTACCATCAGCTGGGTTGCTACTAGTATCTTTTTGTTCATTCCAGCTAAAGGAAAGCTGCTGTATTCACCTCAAACCCTGGAGAGCACCATGGAAGACACAGATGTGGAGCGTAAGATTTTCTCATGGATAGATTCAAATGATGAAGTTCATAATTCATTCTTTTCTAATTCAGTTTCTTTTGTCTTTTTTTTTAATACCAGAGGTGACGCTGGCTTTATTAGATGCTGCAAATGACAAAGACACAGGGGTCCAGGAACAGGTCAGGAAGTCTGTCCTTACCCTGGGGAAGACACAGCCAGAGCGTGTCCTAGCCATGTGCCAAGACTACCTGCTCAAACACCCAAAGGTGAGACTGCAGAGAAAAATGCTGGTAGTGCTATGAAGGCAGTTCACAATGGATGCCATTTGTAAAGCTGGTTGATTTGTCTAGAATGTGAACAAAAGCTGTGATTTCTTAAAGTAAGACATTTCCTTTAAGAAATCACATGACAACAGCTCTATAGAAAGCAAGATTTTGTTCTTCAATCATTTGTTTATGAAAATATATGTTTTTATTTTTTGATATGTGATTTATTTTTTAGATGCACTTCTAATGAGCACTTCTGGGGTTTTTTTGTCTTTTTTTTGTGTGTGTAGCTTATTGTGAGCCACAGAGTTGTGATTCTTCGAACAATTGAACTGATTGTAGACAGCAAAATAGACTACATCAGTTCCAATAAAATCAAAAGCATCATCTCCCTTGCATCTGATGAAATGACGCGTTCAAAGGTAATTCTATTGTCTTACTGTTGTTCACAAGCTGTTTGTACCATTCTGCTTAAAGCCATTCCCTTTTGTGTTCCTTTTCTAAACAGGATGTCATCCCTGATTGGCAACAGGCAGCAAGTAATATTTTGGTTGCTGTGGGTAACAAGCACATAAATGACATCATGGAGGAGATTTTGAGCAAGTTTCAGCCTGGAGTCCTGCCCCACTTCTTTGTTGTTCAGACATTGGCCAATCTGTCAGACTCAAACGGTAAGAATGCGTAACCTAAATACACTTTAAAATATGTGTATTTTATTAGTTTGCACAGCACATGTCAACTCTGAAGAGGACTCACCACATAATCTTCATGAAACAGGAATTCAAAAGTCATTGTGTCGGGAAGACCTGAACTCGCTAAACCTGTCTAAAAGTGTTCAACTTTTGTGTAAACAAGTTGTGGCAAATTTGACCATTTTATTGCACAATCACAATCAATCGATCAAGTCCATCATGTGTTTTTTGGAAAAGTATCGCTGCCAGTTAAATACTTTTTTTTTTGATAATTTTTTTACCATCTATTTTCCTTCTAGTGTTTGGTATGGTGCCTTTCTTGAATGCTATATTAGGTACAATGTTGCCCATGCTCAACATGGCCAAACAGGACAACATGAAGTGGGTATTTTCTTCTGGTAAGGCTTCCCAGTAAGACAATAGAATTGCAGTATATAATAACATAACAATCTAAATGTTGAATTTGTATTATTTTTTGATATCACTCTAGCGCTCCGTCATTTCAGTGACAGTATCCTGGAGTATCTGGCAAACCTTGATAAAGCTCCGGATCCCACGGTTAGAAAAGACACCTTCTCCAGTGAAATCTGTGCTGCTTTTGACATACTTTTCCAAAACTGGTTACAAAGCAGAGAGCCTAAGGTAGGATTTTATTTTTGTCCCTAGTTGTCTTGTTGCTTAAGAATTTGACTTTGTACTCACTTGCTGCTTTATCTGCACACAGCCACTTGAAAGAAAAGTTTACATAAGGTGTGTAACTTGTTTCTCCAACATGTGTTTTAGTTGAGGCTTACTGTGGCTGAGGCATTGGGGTCTATGTGCCACCTAATGGCAAGTGACAAACTGGAGGAGCACATTCCAAAACTGATTCCGTCGATTTTGTCTTTGTATAAAAAACACAACAATGAACATTATATTATAAGCAAGGTAATGTTATTGTGTTTTGTTTTGTTTTTATAGGTATAAGCAAAACATAATTTATTATCATATTATTTTTTTCTTTATTGTAGAGCTTGTGCCAAGTGCTTGATGCCTCTGTCAATATGGGCAGCCGAGTGTTGGAAACACAACTGGACAGTTTACTCTTCGCTCTTCATCATCAGGTATATATATAAAAATACACTAAAATGCTGTCATCAGATTTGTTAAAACAAATCTGTTTTAGTTGACAATTGTCCCACATGTGATAAATGGCTGTTATAGTCATATGTTTATGAATCAGCTGACTCTCTGCTTTAACTGTTGATTGTTGCAACATTAAACCACAGTGAATTTTAGAAAGGGATATGGTACGCCGCTTGTCATGTGAGAAGAGGAAGTATAGTTTAATTTCAAACTTTCACAAAATGTTATTTGTGCTCTATGCTAAATTGTCATTAAGATAATGCTACACCAACATTTAGCCCATACTGTTTAAATTAACATGAACATTACTTTCTTATATTCAGGTGTCTGTCTCAGTGGATTACAGTAACCCACCAACCGTAAAGAACCACAACGAGGTCCTTCGCTGCTTCAGTTTGCTCGGTATAGTAATCTTTACATATAATTCAAGGACAGTCCAGTGTTTTCTGTGTTTTAGCTTTAGAGAGTCACAAGAACACTAATGTGATCATGCTTTAATGAGCAAGACTCCATGTCCTGACAAGATAATTATATTAACTGGGACAGTTCCCTATTCAGTCTAGATTTAATCTGTTTTTTCTGCTACTTTCATACAGCTCACTTATAAATGCCATTTTACTTTTACAGCAAACACATTTCCAGACCGGCTGATTATGTTTGTACTGCAGAGGTTAGAAAACACCAATGAAAGAAGTAGACTGGGCTCTTTGGCTGTGCTTCGCCACCTGATCAACTCTACTAGTGAGGAACCAAATGTTAACAATTTTCATTTCTTCATTTCTTGTAAGTCCTTATGTGCAAATGATAAAATTTTCCTTCCAGCTTCCACAATGGAGACCAAAAAGCTTCTGATATTGGCCAGCATTAGACAACCAATGGCCGACCACAGCAATAAGGTATTACATTCAGTTCATGAATTTTTTCTATTTTAGTTACAGGAGCAGCATAATATAGTGCTGTCAGTTTAGTTGCATTTTAATATAGTAGATTTAATAATTTCTTGGTAAAACATTGTTGTCTTGTAGGTGAAGAAGCGAGTGGTACAGGTCATTAGTGCCATGGCCCATCACGGTTATCTCGAACTGGAAGGAGGAGAGTTACTGGTTCGGTTCATCGTTCAAAACTGTGCACTACCTGACACGTACCATGTAAATCTTCTACCTATTATATAACCTTAATATTATCCATTGTCTTTTTCATTCATAAGCAAGTGTTCTGATATTGTATAATAAATGTGTGTAATATGTTATTTCAGCGTGGACAAAGAACCACAGATCCAGAAGAGGTGACAAATGAGGCCCTTCGATCCATGTGTGACAATACTCTCCATCTGCTCACCACCACTGTTGGACAACTAGCAGATGTGTGTAGAGAAATCATTATTTCCCCAGCAATTATCTGTGTAATTGAGCAGTTTCATTCATTTATAATTGTGTTTGCAGGTTCTTTGGCCAAAACTTTTGTATTTCCTGACTCCCCCACAATACAGCAATGCCACTACTCCTCTCTGTAAAAGTTTAGTTGTTCTTGGAAATAAGAAGAAACTTAACCAGGAGAGCAGTTTCCACATTGACTTCACACAAGAAGGTTAATGTTGGTCATAATTTCACATGCCAATGGTTATAATATGTTGTGATTTGTTGATTAATGTTTGACTTTTTATTTTACAGTTAATTTACCTACCCCTCATACACTATTCATAAGACTTCTGGTAAGTGTAGGTCAACATAATGGATATTCTTATTTTGATTGATTGATTTTAATTTCCTTAATTTATTTTATAGGTGAATGCAGCCTTTCCATATAATAGCAGAGACCATGGCGCACCTTCACTCTCTTTGCTTCAAGTTCTCAGCACCAACATCCATCCAAAGTTAGACACACTATGGGACAATGAGATACCGCCATTATTAACACTTTTAGAAGGTATGGTCAGGCATTTCAGTTTAATATGTTCCATCCAGTTGGTCTGTGTTTTTACTTCCTTTGTGTATAACCAATGTGTAATATTTTCAGAGTTCACAGTTGAGAGTCTTGACAAGAAAAGCTGGGATGATAAATTGTTAAAGGTAAATGCAAGTTCTTAAATGGCCCATATTACACTATTTCCTGTTATAATGTTGTTTCCTCATCAAAAACATACCTGGAGTTGTTTTGTTTCATTCACACATGTTTAACACTCTAATACTTCAGGCTGAGTTCTTCTTTTAAACAGAAAACACTCTGTTCCACCTTGGGATGTCATGTGGTTATACAGGAAGTGATTCACTTAATAATGATTGACAAAAGGGAGCTGTTAACATGAAAATTACCATTTAATGACATTACAAGGTGGAACAGAGCATTTTTAGCTTTGGAGATGTAGACGGATTAATAATAAAGGATTACTCAAACATGTGAGTTAAACAACAAAAAACAAAATAATATTTTTGCAATATAAGACAATATAAGTCTTAGATTGCAAATTTTTGCAATATAAGACCTTTAATCAACCAAATAATGCAAAAGAATCACAACAAATGTCTAATAAACTGGATGTGTCTTTCAGTTCTTGTCCAAAACACTAGTTACTATTGAAGAAGACAAGTGGATCTGTCAGTTGGCATCTGAAGCAACCCGGTACCTCTCCACATATAACAATGCCTTAGAGGAAAAGGTAAGTTTCACTTTAACAGATTTTTTTTTATTTTTTTTACCATATTTATGTTTACGGTTATGTTTATGAGTTTATCAGTGCACAGTAACATATATATGCTGTACTTTTTGTCTGCAGAGCTTCCTTTATCGGTGCACTGGAGTGATTCTTCAGCAAAGTTTCAACAAAGAGCAAGTTAAAAAACAGTTGCATGAAATTCTGCTATCAGCTCACCATAGTGATGCCATTGAGAGAGAGGTAATGTCTGTCTTAACAAACAAATTTTAATGCTATTCTCTAAACTGTTCACTTTTATTGCATTTATAGGGAGTTGCGATGGGTGTTGGTTTGTGCGCAAACAGCCATCTGGAGGGTACACTGGCAAAACTGGAGGAGTTTGGCAAATCAGAAGCTTTTAAGAAGTCCCCAAGCATTTTCAACTTGCTAAAAGTACATTCAACTTCACTCATAATGCTAATTTAAACTACTACTGTACATTTGGTTGGGATGTCATCAACATAATTGATGAGGTCTCTATCTGATTTTAAGAACTAAATATTAATGAGTATTTTAGTAGCAAAACAAAGTAGTTTCAAATCAACCTTAAATATAACAAAAGCTTTGTTATCATAAAGTTTATTTGCCCAATAGTGAGCTGTACGATTAGCTGTATTTTTTTTTTTGTTATGGTGTCAGTAATTGTGAATAATCATATTTCTTCTCCCAGTAATTATAACAGTATTGGGACATCCCTAACATATGGCAGTATCTTTAATTATTTTCAGGAGCGTAATGAAGTTGAAGTGGAGAAAGTGAAGAGTACTTTAATCCTGTGCTATGGACAAGTGGCTCTGTACGCTCCTCCAGAAAAGATCCTGAACCGCATCGACCAGGACATCCTCCGAAACATCAATAAACACTTCAATACTAAGGTAATCATGAACAGGTGTATAGGTATATACAGTAATCTAAAGTAAAGTAATGCTATTGCTATTTTATAGAAGGTATTGCACACTTGGTAAGGAGGCTCATAAAGGTAGGTATAGCAGTACAGTCTTATGACCATTGTCACCTCTACTCCACACAGGTTCTGGGGATAAAAGTAGAAACTAAGGTATCGTCATCAAACTACATGGGGTCTCTTCTAGTTTTAGTATAAGTAACTTGCTTCTGCCTTTTTCTATCTTTAATCTGAATCGTTCTTGATTTCTTATGCTGTTTATGCAGTGTGGTAAAACTAGTAGTTTGTGATTTGCTGTGTCACTGGCCTTTTACCCTTTAAAGCTGCAGTATAAAGTATCAGTGCCATAAAAGTGTAGTTTATAAAGTTTCTTAATAACAATCCAGTTTAAGTCATTTAATATAACAAAACATATAACATATAACAAAAATTATTAAAATTAATATGTGATCCTAATTGGTAAACCTTGTAAATTGTTGAATTGTATAGCTATTCCCAAACATATTTTTAATGTGTGAATTGAATGCATACTTCTGCTCTGTAGCTTTAAAGGACAGTTTACACAATTAAATCAACTAGTGCTGGCTACAAGATTTCTTTATGTTGAAGAGCAGCTAAAAAGAGAACTACAATTTACTATGTATTATAGATACTGAATAACCAAAATTGTAAAGTAAAGGTTTTACTAGCAATGCGTACTGGTTGCGTACCTTCAGTCATTGCTGTTCTGCTGTTCTGCACCAAAAAGAAAACTGTAGATCCTGTGTTATGATTTTGAAGTATTTAACCTACTAATCTAGTTTAAAATACATTTATTTTTAGTTTCAGGCTTCCTCTGATTTGGTTGAACAAAACTTTTGCTGTCTTCCTTTCCTCTCAGGTGTCTCTTCTGCATAGCTTTGTAATTAACATTTAAATCAGTCATGTGGTTCAAGGTGAGAAATTATCATCTTTACCTCTAGACTTCGGCCTGTAGTTTTTGCTGGTGGTTTGCTGCTGAAACATATTTCCCCTAATAGCACTTGTCACTTGTTAATATCTCTAAAACCTGATCAACATTCTTGCGTAATGTTTGAGTTTATTTCAAGTAGATCTTTGCTATTGCTTAGTCTCAAAATTAAATTAGGCTGTGCGCTGTGCTGTGCATTTTTAAATTATAAAGCTACTCTAAATTTAACCTCTTGGGCTTGACTTGAATCTTTTTTCTCTAAATTGTTGTATTTTTTCTTTGATTTGCTTCAGGACATGACCATGAAGCTGAGCCTGATCCAGAGTGTTGGTTTTATTGCTAAAGCCATCAGTGAGTGTGTGAAGAAACAGGGCTATGTTTTCACTCGCAAACAAGAACTCATCACAACTATGTTGGTCAGTAACAAGAGCAACAAAGAATAAAAATGAAATAGTTCTGACATCTTCCCCATTTTCTTGAAAGGATTTCATAAAGGCTGAGGCAGCTGATTCGTTGAGAACTCCAGTGCGCCATCTAGTGATGACAACTTGTGCCAACCTAATGTATCCTTTGTGTGCAGTATAAAAGCTCAGACTGTGGGGATTGTAATACACTGTGGTGCGGTGGTGAAGTGTTAAACCTCACATAAATACTTGAATTACCACCAAACTATCTTTAACTCCCACTCCAGTGCTCTTGACCCAGCTCTGAGCGAGAATGAGATTTTTGATTTGCTGAAGATTTGTGTGAACAGTGTGTTTTCATTGCCACCTGAGACACACTCACCTGAGAAAGTGAAAGAAGACGAAATACTTGATCCTAAACAAAGACAGGTGCAATATCAACTTCAAATTGATGAACTCCTTTTGCTTTGTTTTGATGAATTATCATATGAAATCTGTGCAGACACTTTACAAGGACACATTAGCGGCACTTCAAGATCTGCTCAGGAGTGTTCTGTCCAGAGACCCAACTCCGGATGGTCTGCAGAGTGTTTTTAAGGTGAGGCAGGATTTAAACAAATGGGGTCAATATATTTTCTTGGAAATCCACAACTCCTGGTATCTTTGTTACTGAGATTTCTTTCAGTTTGACTTGTCACATTTGTCAGCTGTATTTTTTGTTGTCTTTTTCAGCACATTGAATCCTGGTTAAGTTCAAATCAGGATCACGAGAGGGAGCGAGCCGTTTCTGTAACATCAAACATACTATCATACTATCTCGATATCCTCACAGTCAAGGTATGGGCCAAGCACATGCATACATAAATTGTCATAATTGAGATAACCCAAATCCATTTTAATTTCTTGTTTTTAGAATATGGTTTCTTTCCACAATCTTGGAGCTCTACTTGGGCGGCTGTCTCCACGTTGCTCTGACCCTGTTCCCACTGTGCGAACCGCAGCTATTGACTGTCTATATACTCTGCTTTATATACAACTACGATATGAAGGTACAGTCAAACCAAAGCTTATACTGCATTATACTATTAAATATACATACACATATCTAATAAAAGATTAGATAAAAATCATATAAAATGTACATATTAAATTATTAATAATTTTTTCCACATTTTGCAGGATTTGCCCTTGATTATAAGGATGAAGGCGTGGACAGTTTACTACAATTAAAAGAAAGTCTAGAAAACCCAGACCATGCAGTCCTCTATAAAACTTGTTCAGAAACCACCAAGGTACAGTAACTTTTCACCCTCTTGTCATAATATAAAGAAGCAATTTGTATTTCTTCTGGTGGAGAGTTCTGCTGCATGTTTGTCTTCATGGAGCTGTACTACTTTGCCAGAATATTCCACACTATGGCTTTATCTTAGCATTAGGTGTTCTTATTGAGAAAAGCAGAAGACACCTACAGGTCTAGTGGTCAGATCTGCTCATGGGCAACATCACAGTACGAATGCATGTTTTTAAGGCAATTAAACATTTAATTGAATAAATCTAAGATAAATATAATGCCATACTATGGATTTTTCCAATAGCAACCAATAGCATCTTCATTAGACAAACAGAAAAATGACATATTGTACTTTTAAGTGGCACTTTATATTAGGGGTGTCAAATTATCGCGTTAATTGCGATTAATTAATTACAGTCATATTTAGCGCGTTATGTTTTTTAATCGCGTTAATCTAATTTTTAATCTCTAACTTTACTGTTTCTGTATGCGAGTTGCTTTATTATAAAATACGTTTTTATGTGTTGTTGGGACAACAACAACACACACACACACCACACACACAAAACACATTTATACATTTTTTTTATTTCGGTAATTCCACTCATTGCCGGAAACCCACAAAAAACGCGCGCAGTAAGAGCGACGTAAACGTCATGTTAACGTTGGCGGCGTCAGGCACAATGGACGAGGTCGTAGAGCCAGTAGAACAGAGTCAGCAGTGCACAGGTAAAAATGCATTCGTGTCTCGGAAATTATTCTCCCGACGTGAAATATAAAAGAAAATAACAAATATAAAATCGCCTACAACTTAAATGTCACTGGTGAAAACAACCTGCATAGGCTCATGATGTCTGCACTACTGTCCTATAGTGACCTGCCACATGAGGGGACACACACACAAACACAAACACACACAAACACACACCTTCATCATCATCATTAACCTGAGAACGCGCGGACCACGTTTCTTTCCGTAGTTACTGCGCGGACACCGACGTGCTCCCGTGCGCAACGTACGTTTTCTCGCGTACGCTGCGTAAACCGCGCTTCCTCCTGTGCGCCTCTAAACCAGAACTAACACCAAGACTAAAACCGGGACTAACCCAGTCCAGGACTAAACCAGAACTAAAACCAGGTCTAAACCAGGACTAAACCAGGACTAAAACAAGGACTAAAACCAGTGATCTCATATATAAAGCATTTCTCTATCAATAATATTTTTAATATGGTTAAGGAAAGACTGGACTTTTTATTGTCTTTAAGTAAACAAAAGTTATTATGTTCAGATTTCCTCGTCTTTGCTACTTTACAACAAACAGTTTCTTATTCATGGAGACTTGGGCTCAACAGCCAATTTGGAGAGATTTGTTAAACAATAAATGACTTTATAAAGTCACTTTTTTTTGTTTCTCAGCAATTTTTAGGTGAGATTAATTAGATAAATTAATTACAGCGCATAATTAATTAATCTCTCAATTTTTTTAATTGCATGACAGCACTACTTTATATATCATATTTTGGTTTGCTTTTAGGTGATGAGTAAAAGATTGCCACAGCAGCAGTTGACGACACTGGTTTTTATGCTGTTTGAGGGACTAGTGGACAGCCAGGCAAACTGCTGTAGAGCCTCTTCTGTCATCCTCAATACTCTACTCAAGAACAGAGGAGGCGGACTGCAGGAACTGGTAACTCACACAAGAAAAAACACCATAAACTAGTCACGTTTGTATCTTTAATATATTTTAACCATCATAGGTTCCTGAGATGCTTGAGGTGTTACATGTACGATTGCAGAACATTACAGATGACCAGGTAAGTATTTGTTATACCTAAACATAGACTAGTACCTCAGAACAAGCAAAATTAAGTTAAATCTGTGATAGTGCCCAAATTTAAAGATCCCATATTATGCCATTTTCTGATCTGTGTTATAAGTTGTGTGTCATTTCATTTACACATGTTTAAGACATAAACGCTGCATATTTCGTCTCAAACAGAAAACACTCTGTTCCTTCTTGTGATGTCATGTGGTGAAGAAAGTGCTGCACTGTATACTGTAAATTTCATACACTTTTACTAGAGTCATTTGGCTGATTTTAGTCCTGGAATTGCCAGGTAAAAAAAAAAAACGTCACAAGGTGGAACAGAGCATTTTGAGCTTTGGGGATGTAGACAGACTAATAACAAAGGGTTAATCCCTGTGTGGGCTGAGTGAATGAAATAAAACACAACTCTGGGTATGTTTTTGAGACAGTAACAACGTTCTAACATGGCAAAAAGCTCACAGGAGTAAATTTTGCATGATAAATAATTTTAATTAAATTTGATCATCATTGGCAGTTGATAGTAGGGTGGTCCAAAATATATATTTTTTAGAATCTATATTAAAACCCTGCATTTGGTTCCATATGTGGCCAAAATATTTGGGTCCAAATTTTATACAAATTAATTAATATTTAGATGTTGCTATACTATAACATAGTAAACCAAATAAATAAAGCATATTATAATAATATAATAATAATAATTTGCCATTTTATTTTGCAAACATAAACTGACACTTGCATAAAAATGACTTAGAAAGTCCATAAAAGTTGCTTAGAAAAAACATAAAATCTATAAAAAGTTACTTAGAAAGTCCAGCTTCCCTGTGGCTTTGTTGGCATCACAAAAGATGTGGCTGTGCTCTTTGACAACTTGCAGTAGATACTGTTTCTGATCTTCATTCTTTTTTAGGCTACAGTTAAAATCTTGAATAAGCTTCACCCCCTTTCAGCAACATCATGGACAACTTCCCTGGAATGCACAATTTTAACAGCCTTCTGAAAGTCTGCATCATCAGCCCAGTCTGCTGGGGAAATTGTTAAAAATGTTTTTTGGCAGATCAAGAGCTTCGAAGAAAGGCATCGTGCTGGTGGTGACAAAGTCACTGATCTGCTTCCCTTCATAATCTCCTTGATTAAGGACATCACATCACTTTGGTGGAACCTCTGAACCTTCCTTTTCCATAATATTGTAAACCATCAACTTCTTCTGTTCTTCTCCTTTTTCTTCCAAATTCCTTCCTAAATCATCTTTTGGATACTAAAAGCTAATGCAGGGTTCTAATTAAGGATATCTGAAACTTTATTTTTTACCATGCTTTGATGGACCACCCTAATGTGTAGATGAACAGCCCTATTACAGTTTGACATCATTTACTCATCAATACTAAATGTTGCTTCAAGCTTTCAAATGGCCTTGTTGTGTACAATCTTTCATATTTTGTAGGTAAGAGTCGCAGTGGGACAGACAGTATTGATCTTGGCTTCTCAGCATCTACAAACCGTAATCAACACACTAATAAACCAGCCACTTCCATATGACACAAACCAAAACACAACAGGATATTTTTTATGTGTAATATATCATGCATAATATTTGTGGATAAAATGTTTTATCTTATTTCAAGTTGGATCAGTGAGATGTGGATGGCTTTGGGATCAGACGCTGTTGTAGCCAAACAAATAATGGAAATGGTGATGGAAAAACTGCTCATTTTGGCTCCGTATGTTGACCGCAAAGATGGAATGATTAGAGGAGGAACTACTAAGATAGCCACAAACCAGCCTCTTGCTGTAAGCTACTGGGCTGTAAGCACATGAATGCAAATTAACATAGACATTAAAGATCTTAAATGGTTGTATGCGCATTTTTTCAGATGACATGTGGACTTAAAGACTTATTATTAAATGGCCAAAGTCAAGAGCCTACTCTGAGCTTATTCCCACAGCTTTTCTCATCTCTCACCGTGAGAATTGGGGCAAGTGTAGGTGTTGCTGCTCCAAAAGACAATGCAAAACAGGCTGGCACTCTCCATGTAGCAGGGTAGGTTACTAATTTGCTAAACTTAACAAATAATATAGAGTATAATATAGAATAACATCATGGTAACATACTTTTATATGTGGCTGATATTTTTTATGTTTGTGTACAGGGTTGCAGCTGACGCACTGAGAATCTTGTTAGCTCGAGCCCAGATGGATGAAGTCATGAAAAGACTAGATGAAGATAATGCTTGGGATGCAATGAGAGAGCACAATTCACACATAAGTGGAATTACACTGCTGGCCAGGTTTGCTTCTACTATTTAAGTATGTAGCATTCACCATAACTTGATAGTGGAAGGATTGTTTTTGTTTTGAATAGAGCTGTTGCTAAGCATGCTGGTCCACGGTTACCAGCGATCGTTGAATGCTTGTGTCCATCTCTAAATAACATCTATGAATGCCAGAGGATTACTGTCACAGCTTTCTTTTCTGAGGTAACTCCTGTGTTATTATTGCTCCTATTGGGATACTACCAGGTTTTCACTGAGCATGCTTGTCTTATCTCCTGTAGCTTTTAAACCATCACGTGGTGACAGAGCTGATGCTGATCGATGTGTTGATGAACAACATGATGGAGAGGATATCGGACCACTGCAGCACTGTCCGAATGTTGGCTGTGAGGGGCTTGGGCAACATAGCTGTTGGATCACCTGAAAAGGTACAAGCCTCATTTAAATGCACAAATTGTGTATTTCAGTACTTCATTTCAAGAAGTGTGTGTGTGTGTGTGTATATGTATGAATATGAATATATATATATATATATATTATATTACAGACTGTTATATTCTATGTAGATATTATATTTTATACATGATAATGTATGTAACTATTATCTAATTAATGAAGTAGGCCAGTTTGTTAATTGTATTGTCATGCATATTGATAATCTCCACCTAGGTGAATAAATATGCAAAGGAGTTGCTGGCAGCTATGAGCTCAGGCATGGAGGAGAAGGATGATCCAGGTAACCTAATAAACAGCTTTTCTTTATGTCTCCACTTTCATAACAAAGTCAATGGCAGAGACATTTTAATAAGTATAATTTTATGCCTTTTTCCTTCAGGTAAACTGATCACTCTTGAGGCTATGTCTGGTCTGTCAAAAGTTCTCCTTCATCTTGATAAGAAAAATGTTCATTTACTAGTGGTCTATATTTTTATGAAGATTAAGCCATTCTTGGAGAGTGTAAGTAAAATCTTTTCACACTTATATAAAGCATAGATATTTTTATATCTTTGTGTGTCTTTATCCAGGAGAATGATGAGATTCGCTGTGCATCCATACATCTGATGGGAAACCTGTCAAAGTTTGGATCAGGAGAGCCAGTTTTCAAAGACCAGATCCACAATGTCCTGGTGAGCCTGCTACTGCACCTGGTTGACCCAAACCCAGAGGTTGTTAAGGTAGGAAAAAGCTCTTGATGGTGATAAAATATTTTTAAAAAGTAGATTCTATTGTTATGTTATGTTCTCAAAAATATTTGTGGTTTTACCTTAGGCCTGTAAGTATTCAATGCGTATTTGTGCTCCTGTGGTGGGCTCAGAGCAAATCACATCCATGTTTCAAAACCACCTTCACGAAGACAAGAACCTGCACTACGGAGAGTTCATCAATGACCTCACTAAATACCTGGTGAGACACTGTTATCAACATGAATACACTGATTCTCAACTGATGGTAACCTAAATGTAAATATATAGCTTCAATTATATGTTATGTGATAATCTAAAACCTCTTAATACCATTAATAAAATAACCCTAAAGCAACAACAAATAAACACCTCAATGAAACTGTATGCTCTTAAGCATAATAAGCATGTATGTATCTATAATGATTCAGAAATATGTAAATTATTTGATCGTCTCTAGCTCAATATATCAAATTATTACAACAACATAAGAAACAAATGAAGAATAAGTCCATATAGTTATTACAGTCACAGTACTGCTGGTATCTTGAACAGACCAGTACAGAAAGATCAGATGTATTTTGTTGCATAACAAGTAGATTAGAATTTAATTACCAGGGATTAGTTTTGGCTCCTCAGTCAGGCTTATTGTTAATTTATAACCCCTCTTTGAGGTTTGGTAACTATATATTTGCTTGAAGATCCAGGACTTCCCAAGCATGTTAAACTTCTATCACATCTCCGTGATCCAGTTCTTCAAAAGCAACTGGCCTGAAGTCAGAGCTGGAGCCGCCATGTTTATAGGTATGACAGATGCTTTACCTCTTATTGAACTGTGTTAGCTTTAGCTGCCTGTAGCCATATTTCTTTTAAAATAACCTTTTAAATGTTTTTAATCAGGGTTTCTACTCGGTAATGTACAAGAGGAGCATCTTTCCCATCTCAACATGGGCACTATCACTAAAGGTACTATCATCACTCCACTTTTTACATGAACAGGATTTTAACTCCATGTGTGTGCTGCTTTCAAAAGGTCTTGTGATGCTGCTTCAAGATCCAGATCCTGTTGTGAGGGTTAAAGCTGCTGAGGCCATGGGGCATTTTCACTGACACAAATTAAGTTATACTACAATGTTTGAAAATAACGAACGGAGAGAGATGTATTTGTTTATAGGCCTGACATTAACTACAGTGATTGGATATTAGTGTCTCACCTTGGCAACTAATGACATTCTTGCACATACAGAGCTATATAGAGTAGTTAGCAGCAAACATTTTACGTTTATCTCTGTTACTTGAATGCTTATGTTAACTTTATTTTAGTGACCAAAGACTGTGTTTCTGTAGCATTTAGCAGGGCAATAATCAGTGTTTTGTCAATGTGCAAATTGCAGAATACATTTTAGAAGAAAAGTATAGTACATATGATTTATTTTATAACTTGGTATGTGAATAGAAAATCTATATTTAGTACCTGACAGTAGCATCTGAGGTAGTTTAAACATTAAATTACATAAAGGTAAACTGGTGACTGGTCTGCTACTTGCTTGTTTCCAAGTAGAAGTCATCGTTTTTCCTTGAATGTTTCCCAGTATAGAATTAAGCTTATTTATCTTTATGGAGACAAATGACTATTAGACCCAGTCACAGGTCACAACTGTGGAGAAGTGAACTCGCTGTAAGAATGCATATATCTTGTACAAGAAATATAAGTTTAATGTTGCACTGTGGAACATTCCAGGAAAAGAAATAACTGCTCCTTGGACACTCGTTACTTAACAGACCGTCCACCAGTAAATGTAATAGTGACCCTTTAATTTAGTGGTTCGGTCATACCAGCATTTGTAATGAACATAGTTGAGAGGTTGGGCAGTGTTACTGTATATGTGGGGAGATGTCTGCCTCAGCACATTTTCACTTGAATCATCTACAAAACAAAGGATGAAATTTGCAATGAGCCAAAAATCATTAGTTATCTTGGATGTCTCAAAACTGTGGATGGCTCAGTTGCCAAAGTAAATACATTTTGGCCTGTCTCTAGTGTACAAGTTGGTGGTAATCCTGTATGAATCTGAACAAAATGTAGCCTCATAATTAGTGCCAAAGCTTCATTGTCATCCAATTTTAACTGAATAATCCAAACTGAATGCCTTTGTACGCAGTTGTAATCCATGCTTGAAGAAAATTGGGTCTTATTTTGTTTGTATATATTCAGGACATGTCGATGTTAAATGAGCACTGCAATGCATGTTGTTGCCTTTTTCTTTTTGCACTTTCTCAATGTTGTTAAATGATCTCTAAAGATGAATCATGTAAAATGTTATTTTAAAGCTGACAAGAGGTACATCTTCTAATTAAGTGTCATTATATGTAATATTGGCATATTCTGCTCCTGAATGGGCTATATGATCCAAATATTGATGTGTGGGTACATGGGTTGAAACTGAGTTAAAATTATTGTATTTTTAATTCTCTACCTGTCTCTTTGCATTTTTTCATGTCTTGAACTGTTTTATGAATGTCATTTACATCCTAAAGTGCAAGCTACTAAGCTATGTATGCATTTTGGTGGGCCATTGGAATATGTAAATAGTAATAATAAAACCAATATTGTTAAAAAACTTATACATCTGTGGCCAGTTTGTGGACATTTACAGCTTTTAACCATTTGGGGGCAGTAAAGTACCATTTACGACAGAATAGTTATTAGAAACGGATTTCTTTAGTATATTATATTAATATACTATGCTGTTTGTATGCCTATTGTGGTATGTTTAAACATCACCACAACAATAACTGAAATTGCACTTCTAGCTTAGCTACTGCCTTAGATTTCCCAATGCACCCCTTACAATATTCTGCTAATTATTTATCCTTATTGGTTTTCAGGCAAATTGCATAATTTCTGAAGAAACTGTAACATGAGCCACACATTTAGCAGTGAGGCAGTTCAGTTTTATTTATGAATTGATTCATTATTATACCACTCCTGGATTAGTTGAAGACATAGCTGTTGTATTCACCAAATAATATCCATAATTTATACAATATACACATTTAAATTAAAACACAAATGTTAGAGACATTTCATTAAATAAATAATCATTTTGAGTAGGCAGATTTCTAACAACACATTTGAGTGTCCATGGTACTATTTGAAATGCAAATATAAGTAGTGAATGTGTTTGTTTCTAAGGAACTAATGAGCATGGCTTGGCTTTGATGAAAAAGTGTCCCCTCGACAGTTACACCAACTGCTCCTCTGAAAAACAAGGAGGTGCTCAGAATCAGCCTCTCAATGCAAAACAGGCCAAAAGTAACAACGATATAGGATTGTAAGGCAGACTGTTCTGGGGAAGAGAGAGTGAAAAGTTGCTAGATATTACCAGCTTTTCCCTCAGTACTACATTTTTTTTTAACTGTTTGTCTTTTATATTGCACTTACGTACCACAAATATGAATGAAGCCTCTTTACACAGTGTTTTTGTTTTTGGAAGTTGGGGAAGGAAAACTAGGGCTGCACAATATATTAAACATACAGGCTTATGCAAATAATTACCATATTACACCCACAATCTAAGTAAGTCTTAGGTTATTTTCCCATTTGCACTGATTGTATAATTTTAAACAAAATACCTTACTAGATGTTATAAAGAACTAATTATAAAAAGTTTCATTATATTATATCGTGCATGTTTGTGAATACTGTGCACACTAGTGGATACATTCATAAACACATCTGAAAATAAAACACATTTAATAAGGCTTTAAATCACAATTTAATGTTTCATATGAGTAGCTGTTTTGTTTTTCCTTAAAATTATATTATATTATAGCATGGCAACATGGCCATTTACAATATGTCCTGAATATATGAATGAACTTGATACATTGTCTTGTGGAATAGAGTTAAGTGCAGTGAGAAAAGGCCTTATTTCTGTCATTGATGGTTGTAGGTGGAGACAGGTCTTAAGAGGCGTACTCATACTCCTCGGCACTGCGCCTCCCAAAATCCATCCAGCCCAGGTAGTCTCTGTCCTTTATCCTGTGTCCTGGTGCCAGCCCGCTGGCTCTGCTGCTCAGGGAGGACCGCGGGTGGGATGCTGCAGCTGAGCAAAACATCAAGAATTTTAAAATAAAGCAAACTATTTAACCACTGATATGTAAAGTGAATAAAACATAAGTCTGTAAGTGGGTAGGATATATCAGGCAGGCTGGAAGAGATGCAAGAAATAGGCAAAATTTTGACTTTTGTGGTAACGGTGATGGTCTCAGATTAGATTACTTTGAGAGCACGAGGATAGCATGGGCTCTTATGCATGTTTTATGTATTGATGGAAATCAATGAGCTCAGCTGGTGAGCACTGCAATGTAGGTATGCAAAAACATGACCTATGAGAACAAGTGGTTACGATGAGATGAATGAGTGTAAATGACCGAGCGAGGCCTCAGAGGAGTGAGAGGGGTGGGGGGGACACAGGGAGGTGGGACAGGGGACAGATGGTGAGACGGCAGCATGGCATGAGGGACCATAGATCACACAGAGAAAAACATAGGACACCGTGTTTACATGTTGACCTGGTGTATTTAACTGGGTTTAATAAGGTTTTATGGGAGGGGAAAATATGGTTATTATTCATATCCAGATTCCTGATGCAATCTGGGTAACCTCTATGAAGACCTGATTAGTGGCTGTAGAAAAATGCATTTGTCTTGGATTTAAAGGTACACCACTTGCTTGTGTTCTTGTAGATGCTATTGTTTCCTTGCAACCTGCAGTACGGCAGTGAACTTATCAAACTTACATTTATTAAATTTCAGGTGTTTCTCAGTCTCAAAAATAGTGTAAGTAGGCTCACCTCTCCACAGATCTGACCTATAATTTGGCCTGGTGTCACCTGATAGACAGGCACATTTAATGCCACACTGTAGAACATTCTAGACAAAGCCATAACATCTCCATGGAGACAAGCAGGTGGCATATCATTGTGTACCAGTGGCACCTTTAGCACTATGAAATATGAGTGGATGCCAAAGATCAAAGGGCTTGTCTAAAAATATATTATTATTATTAAACGCACATAAGAGCAAGTGTAGCCAGTGGCCTCTGCAGCTCACCTTTCTTGGAGAGCAGTCTGACGAGCAGCTGGTTGAGGGTCTTGCTTGCCTCTGTTTGGTCATGGGACAGCTCTGGGCCCACGGAGCGGACCTGGCGTGTGTGACTATCTTCAGAGGGTGGGGCGAGGGTCTCTGACACCCGGGGGTCTATCTCTGTATTCTGTGACTGTGGATAAATGACACATTCATTCAATAATAAGCACACCACCTGCATAACAAACATGTCTTTTAAAATGACTTACCGTGGTTTGTGAAGGCAGACTCAAGGAACTGCTGAAGAGAGCAGCCAGGAGGACACACACACTCATACCTAAATTCATGTCTAACCAAAGAAATAAAGAGAAATTTGTTATAAATGATGCCATATTATTGTAATATCTACCATAATCCACACCACAAATCTCTTTACTAAATACTATATCCCACCATGGAGTTGTTGTCTATATATTGTCTGGTCCTTAATGATTCTAATCTTAATTTGGCTTTGATGCAACCCTATTCATGCGTTTCAAGTTATGGCAACTGTCCTCTGTAGTCATAGCAATTAAATAATTCAAATCAATATATTATATCTTTTCAAAGGGGAAATGCTCTCTCGACAAACTCCTTCAAATCAGGAAAAAAATTGAATAGAAACCCATGAATGCAATATTGTTTGATTAGTTTTGGTTTCAGTATTTATTGATTTTATGCAAATTATTAGGGATTGAGTCTGTGTTGTTCTAGGGTGAAAAAAGTTGTGTTCATATCAGTGCCAAATCTACATAATTTTTGGATAAAATCAGTGGTGTTAAAAGAGCAGTCATTTGTGTTTGTCTGTCTGTGTTTTTGTTGTGATGAATTCAATCTGCCAACAACAGCTACGTCCCAAAGGGAATCTGCCAATTATCTGCAAATCTTCATTTTGCAGACTGTGCAATGTGGGTTGTTTTTTTTTTTTCTTTTTTTCTTTTTTCTCCAGACCAGTTTCACATGAAAGCCGTGAAGCTCCACACCACTGGGACTCATTTGTGTGTCCATGACTGCATTTCTTATTCTGATTAACAAAAATGCTCTGATGGTTTTGAGGCAATGAGCAAGTTTCAATTGTCAGTACAAATGTATCTAGTGATCGGAAAGTTTAAATCAATATAACCTCTCTAGGGGGGTTGCTAATTGCCCGCTGGGTTAACATGGTTATTTGTACAGTAATAAATGAAGCCATTATTTGGATTCCTGCTCATCCAAAGCAAATGATCCAATTAAATAAAAGCAATAGCACCAGCCGCTTCAAGGCGCTTGGCTCGACTAATTCAAGCTTCAGTGTGCTCCATAAGGGCTCTCATAATCACTGACTGTTGCTAGCTGCAATACACAGGGCAAAACAATACATCCAATCAGTAAATTAGGAAAATTATGAAATTGTGTATTCCCATGTCTGGTGTATTTCATAAATTTAGTGCATCAAAGGAGGTAGCTAAAATCTCTTTTTATTTTAACTAGTCTATAGTACACATCTTTATACACATTTTTAATTAAACATAAATACATGAAAGCAATGTTGTTTGATGAGCTTGTTTTCAGATTTCATTGATTTAAAGTAAATTAGAGATTTGAGTCTATATGCCATTCTAAATACATAATTTCCATGCCACATTGTAAATTGTACAGCTTTTCCAAAGTGACGTATCTGAAAGTTTTTAGACTACTACTAATATATAATCTATAATCTAGCCACTCTGCACTCCCACTAGTTGTAACTCATCACACTTGTACGTTTTAAACCAGTGTGATAGATAATAGATAAAGCAGGATGAATGTAACATTTTCATTATGTAAATGCAAATATAGTTCGAGTGAGTAGCTGGTCATAGTTATTCATTCATTATTCAATTGGCTGTAATGAGGTGGTGCAGCTCCACTCATTCCACGTGCCCACTTAGTGCAAAATTGTGGTTAATTACCTTAAAATTAACAATCAATAGCCTATACACTTTTGTTAATTTATTCATAAAACTTGTTAAGATGGGTGGTAACATATCATCCAAAACCAACTCTCAAAATGTTCAGATTGTTATGCAGTAATTTGATTCTATGAACTTGATTCATAAATTCAATTAAATCAATCAGTACCAAATAAATCAATAATAATTCACCCCGTCAGTTCTAATTATGTTCAGAGATATTTTTAGCTTTTCTAATTGCACATTTTAATGATATGGATGATTGAGACACATCAGAATTATCGAGTGTAAATTATAGGAATTGTAGTGCATCTATAGCAGTTATTTAATTTTAAAAGCATTCATAATAATAGTTTAAAATTTTGTTCACATATGTCTTCAATAAAATGTATTTCTTACCTGCAGTAGTAGATGTGGAGGAGGACCAGCCAGAAGATGCAGACTTTTTGCTCCAGTGATCAGTTCAAGTCTGAGGCTCGGAGGAGGAGGTGGCTTTTATAGGACCACACAGGAAGGGTGAGGGCCTGCTACAAGGGGCGGGGCTTGATGCTGGCGCACAAACTACAGTGAACTGACGCAACTCAAGACGCATTCATGCACTGGCAAAACCCTGCATATTACGTAAAAAGCACACACGAAAAGAAGGGGGGCGATGAGACAAAGGTGAACTTGACAAGAAGTTCACCAACTTCCAAATCAGTGGTTGAAAAGTGGATTATAATAGTGTTATTTCTATATCACTGATAGGAACAAAAAGATATAGTATTTGGTTTTGAATTGTTTATTTCTTTGGCTACTGTCAATGTTTTTTTGTTTTTTTTTACCATTTTTAAACCCATGAAATGAAGTAGCAGGTAATCTGAAAATTGCAGCAGTTGAAGCAGTAACACAAGGACTACCTTAAAAATTATGTTTTTTAAAAGTTTAAACACATTTGTTTTGTTCTTAAAGGAGCATTGAGTAAACAGCGATTTTAAACATTTGACCTGCAGCAAACATAAATAAATGAAAAATAATAGAGAAAGACATTAATATGCTTTACGCTGATCTTTAAAATCCTAATGTTTTTCAAATAATCCATTTCATCAGTTAAATTGATGTGCAAAACAAGCTGGAGTTTGGCTCGCACACTAACTCTTGGGGAAATAATATACTGACATTTCCTCTTCATATTTGCATCTTGTCTTGCCAACAAGAGGCAAGATGTGGCATAATCTGATATTGTGCTGAGGAAGGTTCTCTGATCTGATGCACACTGAGGCTCTTTTAATTTTTCAAAAAGATAATCCAGAAATGTTGAAAAATATCAAATAAGTATTGGAAACAGACCACAACAAGCAAGACAGATCCAGAACTATCATAGGACCAAACCAAGTGTCAGTCAGGACCAATTTGGGTTCAAACCAGGACCAAATCAGGGCAAGGTGAACACACACTAGGAGTTAACCTGGAAATAACTTGCACAACGCTGAGGTCGACACAAACTCAGCCACAACGGCTGATGCATCAAGACAATTATTGAATCAAAAACATTACTCAGAAGTAACTGACAGTATTATTTTTTTCATGTCAAAATGCACTGCTATAAAACTTTAAGATATTCAAATTTAACTGATTCAAAACTATGACTGACTGTTTTCAGTCTCACAAATCTTCAAATTTACATTGCACAAAAATCCAATTATGTACTTCAAATATCAAATTCACCATCTTAAAGTGAGTGGTATTGATGCAGTGATAGTGAACAGGATAGTGCCAACCACCAATCACCTCCATAATGCGGCTTTATTTCACTACTGACCCAAGGATTGTTGACTTGCTGATTACCCATTAAACACTATTAGGTGTTCTTTATTGTAATAGTCCTATATATATGTGTGTGTTTCAGTACTTTGAGAGGAATGTAAATCAGAATATTTGACAGAATCTATGCCTGACTAATCTGTCCACCCTCACAAGTGCAATCAATAAAATAAATTATACAACTGCACAATAAAAAGTCCCAGCAGGAAATATGTGTGCATTTTGAACTACATTTTCCATCAAAGAATGACCTAGGACATTTTTTTTTTATTGTCTTTTCATTCTGTGGTAAATATATTAATATTAATTGATGAAAAAAAAAATCAGTAAATGATCCTTACTAATGCAACTTGTTTTCTCCAACTGTCCTCCAGGTACAGACTGTATGTCTATTTATGAAATGTGTCGGTGACCTGTCCTGTGTGTTTTTAGCCCTATACTCCAGAATGCTAATGAGGCTAACATTAGCCTGTTTCCTAACACTGTGGGTGACAGCTGAGTTGGATGGGCATGCTCCTCTCTCCCTTCCCCTGTCAGTGACACCTGCCTAACTCCAACCTGCACACCGGCTCAATTTTATTACCTCCTGTATCTGCAAGACACAGCAATCTATGCAATATTCATAATCACATTTTTCCCCAGTAAGTTTTAGACACATAAGATTTAGTTTACTTTTACAACATGTAAAGGAAACAAAAAAAGAAACATGTTTAACTAAACAAGGAAATGAAAAATGTCACTGTAGACTATATTTGAACAAGAACAATCATGTGTATGTTGTCTTAGATTAAGCATTATTATATTTAGACTTACTTCTCGGTCATGAATGGTTGGACCCTTTTCAACGATGTTCTCTTGTCAGTCAGCTGAGCTCTTGACTTAATTGCAGCGTGTTGAGTCATCATGTGGGTCACAAACCATCTTTCCCTTTATAGTTCTCACTGCAAAGTGACAGAAGGTCTGTGGGAAGAGGTATTAAAATCAGTCTAAAAGAAACACATGATATGAGAAAGAATTATTCATATCAATATAAAGTGACACTGTATAAAAGCATCATAGAGAAAGAGTACTTTACTTTTTGACAAAGCAATTTTGACTTTTGACATCCAAAATACTACACATTTTAACAAATCAAAGGTGCTCAGGGATTTACATTTATTTATACAGAAAAGTATTTATAAACAATTTATTTGTAAACAGTCGGTTGTTTTTGTGCCCTAAGACCTTCAGAGAAAATACTTTGAGGGACTGTTGGATTGTATGAAATTATTGCTTGTTTTTCCCATATTGATGGACACTGTGCAAGAAGCTAAGAAGCTAGCTAAGGAGCCAGCAATGGACAATTTCCATTCCAGAGGAAATACTTTGTGGGAATAAACCATCAACCGAAACACCAGAGCAGAGTAAGAACAAGGCCTTTCCTGTTGTGTTCACCTGGCTCCCCCTGGACACTGACACCTGGGCTGCAGGACACAGAGAAGGGACACTTTTGGCTCTTCCTCTCCTGCCCTGACACAGATCTGCTGATCCTACTGGACCAGTGTGCCTCTTATAAATCTTTATAGTCCAGAAGTATCAGTAAGTAATATATCTTAATCTATCCTTAAAATGACAACCTCATGTAACCAAGAATGTTACTGCAAGGGTCTTTCCTTGTCAGTTGAACACAGATTATTGTTTTTTAATAAATGACAGATTTGAGAACATTGCTTAGCGGTGTTCCAGCTGCAGGAGTGGATCGTTTTATGGAGAGTTGAAAGGCTAAAGATTATGGTCAGAGTTTGGTGCAGGTCTGATTTTGTGGTCTGAAGAGAACTTATAAATGTAGGTGAACTATTGTATTTCCTGGTAATACCTATTCATTAAACAAAATGTAAATGAGATAAACACCAACAAAGTCTGGCTTCTCAGGGATGATGCTTTCAAAGGTGTTTGTTTTAAAACCATGGCTCTGAAAGATAGGTCTTAAGACCGTTTTTCTCTGGGGAAATAACATATGACTACAACACTTCTCTCCAATAGACACCTTCATCAGTGCTAATGTTTCTCCGTAGATGAAAAAATGGCAATTACTTGAACAGTGAAATATATATAGACCATACAGGTATAATGGTAACAAGAAAACAAACTATAAGGGGATGTTTTATTAAAACAAGTGAAAGCAATGTGACTAACAGACTCCAAGTACCGGGTCAAGTCCAGGTCACTCTACTTATGATATTACCAATGGACATACACCACATAGGACATATATATACTTTTGATGGAGCAGAAATGTATATAATTAAATTGAAAACAGCAAAAGATCAATGTTTTCAATTGTATACCAAAAAATAGTTGTGCAAAGTAAACAATAATAAATAATAATAAACAGTGTCCCAGATTGAAATGCTCCTGGAATTATAAATCACCATTCTTTACATTTAGTCAGTTATTCCATAATGTAATGGTGCCTGTAGCCTGAGCATGCACAGCTTACCTATGTAATACACAGAGGTGGGACAGCGGTGACACAGGACCCCCTTGATGCCTTTCTTTACTTTAGGATCCTCTGCTCGCTCTTGTTTTGACAGTTAGTTTAGACAGCTTTATTGCGAGCCCCAAGCGGTCTGTCACTTGCAAGAAATAGACAAGTTTTCCTGCTGCAATGAAGAAAATGTTTTGTTAGAAATGTGCGTGAAGAGGTGGTTTACATTGTGAAATAATAAAGGGCTATCGGAAAATGTTTATAGGCTAACATTGATTTTTAGCTTCAGTTAGCATTAGAAACACAGCTGTAAATATTGACAGTGGGAATGAGCAGTGACCTGTTATCATTTCTTTTATCGACAACATATTAAACTTTGGCCATTATGTTGACGATTGTTGCCCAGAGAGGTGTCTATAAACTTTAATTATTTTATGTATTTATTTCCCTTAAGGGCATTGCTTCTGCTGTTTCATTAGAAGAAACACACTTCTGCCCAGCATTCATTTGTATGGGATCAGGATAATGCATCTTTTATGAGAAGGTCATAGATTGGCTGCTGTGGTTAGTCCTGGAGCACTTTTGTTGTTGAAGGAAAAAAAAAAAAGACGCAAAGACTGTGACGCAAAGAGTGTGACGCAAAGAGATGTTTATAGGAATCTTTTGATATGAGAGAAAACTAGACAGTCATTAAAACCAAGGCTGTCTCATTGGCTAATATTGTCCCTATTATTTAAAGCCATATTTATTTCTATATACACATTTGCAAATATAATAAAATCAAAAGTTGGATGGATCAATATGAATGGAAATAAAGTCTGCCATATTGTAGTTGTGATTTTTATATACCAGTTTATCCTGCAAACCAACCATAGCACAGTGTTATAGTTTAACACTAAAAACACATATTGTTGTCACTTTCTTTGTGACAAACTGGAAAAAAATGGAAATGGGAAAGAATGGTTAGAAAGAAATGTACCTTTGAATGAACACATGCATGGCATCACAACACCCTACAAAGACAGATCCAGTATGGGTTATTAAATACAGTAACTAACTAGCACAATGCTTCTTACAGTTACATCATGTATGAAATGCATTTTTAAAATATTATCTTAGCATTCTCTTTCCAAAAATCTATATCCTTCCACCAAAAGGCAGCGCTCAGGTTTGTGATTAACCAGTT